GGCAAGATGAGGAGCGCATGGTAAGCTCTTTCACCTATGTACCATCTGCATTGCTAATCTTACTTACGAAGACCTTGTACAATGCAGACTCTGGTCGACGCCACATTGTTGCCGTTCAACATTGGGACAATTTGTCTGCAGATTATTAACCTGTTTCGTATGTTTCTATGCTTCGCTTTGTGGTGGTTGTCTTATAGACTTGGGTTTAGGCTTCTGAAGGTATGTGGAATTACAAGAATGAAGAAGGTGTAGCGACGGACCAGCTCACGCGTCTAGGAAGCAGATTTGCCGCCAGATCATCCCTGTATTTGAGTATCATCCTTGTGGTATGTAACACACACTCTGCACGATCATGCCTAATGAAAGCTTCAAGTCGGTTCTGTGTACGCCTACATGCCAAACACTTTGCACCCAACCCCATAACATTGTAGCCACCAGGTTCTCAGCTGCTTTCCCAGGAATCAAACCCCACATCCTGACACTCACCTCGAATATCCAGATGCTAATCTATTCTACAGGGATATACTCGGGATACACAGTGTCAGCAAGCAGACGTGCTCGAACATCCTCAAGGCGGGTCCAGGATCAGTGATCACGATTGTTGTTGAGGGTGCCGCGGACTTGGAGGGTTTGAGCACACTTCCGGGGACAGCGGATTTGACACTGAAACGGAGGTTGGTTGGTTCTTGTTACATCGGATGTGTGGGTGACTATTGGTATTGATGAGTGATACGTGGGTAGGTTGGGATTCATCAAGTTTGCGATCCAGCATGGGTAATGTCCTCTCTCCACCTATTTTAATTGGAGTTGTTTTTTATATTTTTTTGTGGTAGCACCGTTTTTGCCATTTGGTCTCTGTGTTTTTGTGTGGTGAAAACGATGTTTGTTTCATTGTTTCTTTGTCGTCTTTACGAGGCGGATTAGAATGGATAACAGATATTTCCATAAGCTATCACAAAGTGAGTCGTTTATGATCGACCAAGTGGTTGGGCATGCGCTGACAGCCCACAGGGCCAAAGACTCGGAAACGCCTCTAGAAGAAGAACAGTGACAGGTCCTTAAAGTCGATGTACAGTTGATAAAATCTAGTTTAGCCTCGCAATTGCACTACTTGACCCAGCTGAATGAGTTTCAAAGGAAGACGAACTGAGGCGACTTTCCAAATACTATGTCACGTATGTAAAATAACTGTTGTCTTCTTGAAGGGACATGGCCTGGGATTCTCAACAATGTTTGTTGGGAGAAAAAGAGAGATGTGTAGCGCTGAGTGACTCTAACCTGATATCCCGCTCATAAACCTATCATCATAACTTGATATTCCCTTAATTACTCCAATTTCCAACCAATTTCATCTCTTTTTACTGTCTAACAAATCACCTTCAAGTTCCTACCCACCCTTCATAATATTGTCAATGGTGAATTTAAACTGCCACCTCGGTCGCACTCCACGCTCGTAACAGTGGTGAATACAATTCAAAATCTTCCACACAACACATTGAACTGTTCGTCTCGTTCGGGCACACGCACTTCCGACAATGTTGAATGCTGATAACACATTATCCCAACGCCGCCCCAGATGATGGAAAACATCACGCATTGAAGATTTGCTTTTGAGTGGAATCTGTCCTTCAAGTTTTCAACAGTTTGACTGCACGTTTTCAGTGTTTTGCAGTCGTTGTCATGCGCGTTCGTGACACTAGGTTTTGTGGTGGTGCTCTGAGACATGGTGGGCAGGAAGGACTTGGAGCTGGGCATGCCACATTCCTTGTATGCCAAGAGTAAGGCATATAGAGGTTGTTGAAGGATGTTGTTGATGAGGTGGGACTCAAGACCAAATGGAAGGGGTGTTAACTTCAGTGGGTACCCGCATCTCGTGTTTCCCAATCTGATAGAGCAACACAGGGCTGGAAGCAGGACGAAATTCAAGTTGGCGAGCAACACATTTTTTAGATGGTGGCACCCACGAAATAACTCATGTAAAAATTTGGTAAACCTCCTGCCAGTTATTGATACCTTAGAGAAATAATGGCTATTGATGGTCTATGTAATTTAATAAGATCTACATCATAGAAAACATCCTCAAGCATCCCACTGATTATTGTCAAATTATTGTGAAAAAGTATACTCAGGGTCCAGTATTTTGATATATTGATGTAGGTGCACGGAGTTTCTGGGGTCACTCTCAGTAAAAATGGTTGGTCGGGTGTTGGTCATATAGTAGTCACGCCAGTGCCCGAAAATGTAAGACATGACTAAAAACAGTAAATTTTACAAAATTTTTGACTTCAAGTCGACTTCATGAAGTTGTGTGAAGTTGTATGGTGATGCCAAATATATGCACAATACAGTCATGTAGTAGTCTTTACTTAGTCTAGTCGCCCTCATCTGAGGGTCAATGGTTAGTCATGTAGTCACGACTTCGTAGTCCTTTTGTAGTCAAACAAAGTCAGACAAGCGTTATGCTATAGTTGTGTAGTTAGTAGTAGTCTTGTTCCAGTCATGCTCAAGTCACACAACTGATATGTGTTGGTCATGTATTTCTCTCAGGTAAGAGTCATCTCAGCATCAAATCGAAGTCATGTAAATGTCAAAATCATAAATTATATATATACCCTTCTATTCTAGCTTGAATCAATGACTTGCAGTATGAATCTGATTGTAAACCTCGAGCGGCGTCTTCATATGACATCAGGCTTTGGATGTGGATGCCTTTGTCGCTCCCTTTCGCCCTTTACGCTGTTGACAGAACATTAAAATATTACAAGATCACATAAGTACTAGAACCTACCGCTTCGACAATCTGCTTGATGTCTGCGGATGATGGTTTTTCGTGCACACTATCTCCAACAATGAGTGTAATCAAATCTAGTGCGAATAGGCAATAAGGAGTAGCACAAATAAAACTACAGGGTGAACTAACCATCTTTTGTGCATGTGCCAGAGGGTGTACGACTGGTGGCTACCACTTTTATCTATAAGCTAGACTTAAGCCTAGAGGGTCATTTCTATAACTTAGACTTAAGCCTAGAGGCCATATCTATAATGCTTAGGATTTTTTGAAAGGTATTTCAAATGTAGGCCTGGGTATTTCATAGTGAATTTTCCATAGATACCCAGCGCATTTTCTGCAAAATTTCAAATGCAGCCCTGGATATTTCATTGCGATTTTTCAATAGATACCCTTGGTATTTCATTGCGATTTTTCAATAGATACCCTGGGCATTTCATTGTGATTTTTCAAATGTATCCCTGGGTATTTCATTGTGATTTTTCAATAGATACCCTGGGTATTTCATTGCAAAATTTCAAATGTAGCCCTGGGCATTTCATTGTGATTTTTCAAATGTATCCCACATGTCAGGGTCCATGCAATGGGCTTCCCTGGAGGGTGGTCACATGACCAATTACCAAAAATGGTCAAAAAACGAAAGTTGTAGCCCTACACTGTAGCTTCCCGAATCTGTTTGAATTATGGTCTGAAGTGCTCCTGTTGTGGAGATATGAGGTAAAGGAATTTCAAAAGTGTTGGGTTTTTTTTTTTTTTTTTGTGTTTTTCTCTATGAAAACAAAACCAAATAACGTGATTTCAGTATATTCAGAAAGCTAAAAGAAAGGGCTACAATTATTGTATCGTGGGAAAAATGACCAAAAAAGGAAGGTGCATCCCGTACTACTTATAAGAATCAGATATAGACTACCAAGTTTACTGATAGACTACAAAAAAGTCGGACTTAGACTACACAGTTTACTGATACACTATAAAAGACTACAAAAGTTGAAATTAGACTACAAAGTTTACTAATACCCTACAAAAGACTACAAAAGTCGAACTTAGACTACAAAAGTGTGGACTTAGACTACATAGTTAGGGTTAGAGTCAAAAGGTTATCTTGACTACAAAGTTTGTAGTGTGCCCTTTTTCATTAAAAAAGTTTGTAGTGTCCGCTTTTTGAGACTACAAAAGTTGTAGTGTTGCGCTTTTTCATTGGAAAAGTTTGTAGTGTCCGCTTTTTCAGACTACAAAAGTTTGTAGTGTTGCGCTTTTTCATTAGAAAAGTTTGTAGTGTCCGCTTTTTGAGACTACAAAAGTTTGTAGTGTGCACTTTTTTATTAGAAGAGTTTGTAGTGTCTGCTTTTTCATTTAAAAAAGTTTGTAGTTGACATGTAGTTTATGGTGTCCTTGGCCCTATCTATGTCATGGGGATGAGGTTGAAGGATTGCCATCATATCGCCAGTGCTGCAGCATTAGTATTTGACATCATGCACAAGTTGTCTTTCACATTAGGAAAGGCCATTCCATGTCTTTCATATTGATACCTACTGTCCTATCTGAAGACATAATTGTAAGCTCATTGACATGACATGACCAGTTTTTGACATCATGACCAAGTTTGCATTTCATGCTGTCTGCTTTCACATTGATAACTACTGGCCTGTCCCAAACATAGTCAACTTTGATACAGGTCTTTGAGGGCTGTAGGATGATGGGCTGATTCATCCTTTGAGGTGTCTTGAAGACAGGTCATGTTGTAATTTGACCATGTATTGAGTAGATATCAACATGAATAGCCTTCTCCAGCTTGAAAGCCAACTTGGGCATGATGTGAGGAACTGATGATGTGGCAATATCAATATGTAAAGTCATGTCAATCCTTCAGCCATATCCCCATATGAGCTTACAATTATGTCTTGAGATAGGACAGTAGGTATCAATATGAAAGACATAGAATGGCCTTTCCTAATGTGAAAGCCAACTTGTGCATGATGTCAAATACTAATGCTGCAGCACTGGCAATATGATGGCAATCCTTCAACCTCATCCCCATAACATAGATAGGGCCAAGGACACCATAAACTACATGTCAACTACAAACTTTTTTAAATGAAAAGGCAGACACTACAAACTCTTCTAATGAAAAAGCGCAACACTACAAACTTTTGTAGTCTCAAAAAGCGGACACTACAAACTTTTCTAATGAAAAAGCGGACACTACAAACTTTTCCAATGAAAAAGCGCAACACTACAAACTTTTCTAATGAAAAAGCGCAACACTACAACTTTTGTAGTCTCAAAAAGCGGTCACTACAAACTTTTTTAATGAAAAAGCGCAACACTACAACTTTTGTAGTCTCAAAAAGCGGACACTACAAACTTTTTTAATGAAAAAGGGCACACTACTAACTTTGTAGTCAAGATAACTTTTTGACTCTNACCCNTACTATGTAGTCTAAGTCCACGCTTTTGTAGTCTAAGTTCGACTTTTGTAGTCTTTTATAGTGTATCAGTAAACTGTGTAGTCTAAGTCCGACTTTTTTGTAGTCTATCAGTAAACTTGGTAGTCTATATCTGATTCTTATAAGTAGTACGGGATGCACCTTCCTTTTTTGGTCATTTTTCCCACGATACAATAATTGTAGCCCTTTCTTTTAGCTTTCTGAATATACTGAAATCATGTTATTTGGTTTTGTTTTCATAGAGAAAAACACAAAAAAAAAAAAAAATGCAACACTTTTGAAATTCCTTTACCTCATATCTCCACAACAGGAGCACTTCAGAACATAATTCAAACTGATTCAGGAAGCTACAGTGTAGGGCTACAACTTTCGTTTTTGACCATTTTGGTAATTGGTCATGTGACCACCCTCCAGGGAAGCCCATTGCATGGACCCTGACATGTGGGATACATTTGAAAAATCACAATGAAATGCCCAGGGCTCCCTTTGAAAAATTGCCATGAAATGCCTGGGGCTACATTTGAAATTTTGCAATGAAATACCCAGGGATACATTTGAAAAATCGCAATGAAATGCCAAGGGTATCTATTGAAAAATCGCAATGAAATACCCAGGAATCCATTTGAAAAATCGCAATGAAATGCCCAGGGCTCCATTTCAAAAATCGCAATGAAATGCCCAGGGCTACCTTTGAAAAATTGCAATGAAATACCCAGGGTATCTATTGAAAAATCACAATGAAATACCCAGGGATACATTTGAAAAATTGCAATGAAATACCAAGGGATACAGTTGAAAAATCGCAATGAAATGCCCAGGGTATCTATTGAAAAATCACAATGAAATACCAAGGGATACATTTGAAAAATTGCAATGAAATGCTGAGGGTATCTATTGAAAAATCCCAATGAAATGCGCCAGGTATCCATTGAAATTTTGCAATGAAATATCCAGGGATACATTTGAAAAATCGCAATGAAATGCCCAGGGTATCTATTGAAAAATCGCAATGAAATGCACCAGGTATCCATTGAAATTTTGCAATGAAATATCCAGGGATACATTTGAAAAATCACAATGAAATACCCAGGGATACATTTGAAAAATTGCAATGAAATGCCCAGGGTATCTATTGAAAAATCACAATGAAATGCCCAGGGTATCTATTGAAAAATTGCAATGAAATATCCAGGGCTGCATTTAAAATTTTGCAGAAAATGCGCTGGGTATCTATGGAAAATTCACTATGAAATACCCAGGCCTACATTTGAAATGCCTTTCAAAAAATCCTAAGCATTATAGATATGGCCTCTAGGCTTGGGTCTAGGTTATAGAAATAAAGTGGTAGCCACTAGTGGGTGTACTGATATTGTGGTCATTGATCCATGCCTTCAACTCGTCTTTCTGGAGGGCCTAATAGACGAGTTCATTTGAGAGTTTATACATAGTGAAAAATGAAATAAAACTTACTTGAAGTATTTTTTGAACATCCATGGAAGCGGTTTTGACTGCTGATTCACTCGATTCACCAGAACTGGACGCCGTGGCATCGACGAGCATGTCTTCAGGTTCGGCGTGTTGGGTCGAAGGGGCCTGCATCTGGATGATGTCGGATGTGGGTAGAGTGGTGCCAAGAGCGCTGTCTTTGTTCGTGCCCTTCCCTTTTGAAATGCTCTGGAAAAAAGTTAGTTCATGTAGAAAATTGAGTCAGTGAGAAAAACGTACCCCTCCTGCATCCTTCCACAGATCCAAGAGCTTGTCGACGAGTAATTCGATGTAGACGTCACTAAGAAATGATTTGGGTTTGATGGCCTGTTCAAAACATACATGCTGCGCGACTTTGGATGTTTTCAGAGCCACCGCAAGCAATTGCTGTGCTACCGAAGTGTTTCTGACCGATTTCCAGGAGGTAAGAACTGTGGAAATCATCTGGCTGCCAGCGGTGAATTGATAGTGGCCCCAGCTTCCATATAAATCATCTTCTGAAAAATTAGGTGAGTTCGGGTCAGTGGTTTCGATGTGATCAAGAAACGATAGCGTATCTTGAGTCGGTTCACCCGACTGAAAATCGGGGTCAGCCTCAAATGCTGTGAGAAGTTCGACAGCGACAGTATTAGTGTGATGACTGCCTGAAAATTCATCTAGAAAAATATTCAACATGTATCAAACAAGATTTAAAAAAGACTTTACCTTTTAATGAAGAGTATGACGGATTGACATTGATAAGGTCGATGTCAATGCGTTCCGGTGTCAAGGGAATGGCAGGAATCGCCAAATCAAGGGGGGGACTTGGTTTATCTTGGGGTTCGGTTGCAGCGGCAGCAGTCCCTGGGTTTTCTGTTGATAGATTCAGCTGTCGGTTAATGGCGTCGTCGTCGATAGTTATTGAAGGTGGTGAAGCTATAATGATGACATAAGTAGTACAGCCTGTGTAAAAGCGAACAACGGATGTACCTTTTTCGCTACCCTTAATGTCCTTCTCTTTCCCTGTCTTCTTTTTCTTCTTTGGCTTCGTCGGAGATGGATTCGAAAGGCGGTGCTTGGAGCTAGAGGTATTGGTCTTTGACGATGGATTGGGCAGGGAAACAGCTGGGTCGTCCAAATCGGAAGCGTTGTCTCTTCTCATGGTAGCATTCTGGTTTGATTCCGTGATTCCTGTCAAAATGGTATTCAATACATGTTCAGCTTTCCAATGAGCGGCACAAAGAGCCAGTAAAGGCTCTTGTTCTTTGAGTTTGTGGACCGTGTCAGTCCACTGCTTGAGGTGATACTTAGTGAAGAAGGTCTTGGTCTTCTTCTTCATCAAAATTGGTGTGTCGCGTGGAATGGGGAGAGGCAGTAGATCACGATTTGCAATCGCTCTTGCATTCGCCTTGATTGTGCACCACTCCCCCCCATTGATTAGCGTGCCGTCTTCATGTCATATTGCTTTTTCCATGGCCGGGCGTGATTTGTTCGACTCGGTAACAACATTGTGCGAGTCCTTTTGACAGTCTTCGAGCATCCAGAGAACCTTGTGACTATAGTGTGGTGGCCGAATCGATGGTTGACTGACAGCGTGTTGGACAGCGTTCGATCCGCTCCCAATTTGGGACACGGAATCGCTTGGTGAAATGGAGTCACTTTGAGTTTCGGAAATGATGTGGGGACTGAATCTATGAGGAATTTCAAGTCTGAATCAGATTTCAAGAACTTAAAACTCACCGGAGGCCTGTTCGCAGAACTTGAAGTTCTCCCTGCAACTGCAGCACCTCTTTCTCCAATCGAGAATTCTGACCATGAAGTTCGCACTTGTACTCTTGAGCCTTCAGTACCTGCTTACAAGCCTCCTTCCAGCTATTGAACATTTCGAGGACTTCACGGTTCTTCAGCAGGTCAGAAAGCGACAAGTTTTCGACGTGGACAGGTTGTGGAACAGGAAGAGGTCTGGGGCTTGGTTGAAGTAAAGGAGAAAGAAACAAAGAGGGGTTGGGGCTTGGACATGAATGGCCATTCGGGATTTGTGAATTGGGGAAGGAAAACTCATAGGCATCCATACGCACGCCCCGACACAGGAAATAGAGAAAGTGAAGTTCAGAGTTCGATTTGTCATGTGCTTACATAACACAGCTTCTTTATCGGGAAACCCCAGCTCGTGCAACTGCTATCTGTTCTTCCACCCCACTTCCACTGCAAGTTTCTTGCACCAATGTCTTATCAGTGCTATTGCTCAGCATGCTATCCCTCACAAAAGAAAACAATCCAGACAATCGAAAACCACTTGCAGTGTGATCGACATGCTCTTGTGTCTTCAATCTCCCAAGATAGCAAACATCTTGAGGACTGCATCAATAAAACCACAGCAGCTTTGAAGCTTTATGAAGGAAAAAATGAGAATACTGGTGAGACCATCCTAATACACTTTTCCTTCTTGGATTATTCAAATAATTGCAAAAATACTTGACACAGACAATTCTGGATCAGAGATTGAATCATCTGAATCATCTGATCAGATTGAAGATCAGGCTCATAATTTGGATCAATTAGAGCTTGATCTTATGCATAACCAGCCTGATTCTCTATCCTTGGGCTCTGATTCTTGTTCTACTAGTGACTCTGAATTCTCAGAGGAGGACTTTGATTTTCTATGAACTGAGACTTGGAATGATGGCTCAGATATGGGAGATGCTGAAGATTCTGATACTAGCAGTGGCACTTCTAATTCTAGCAGTGGCTCTGACTCTGAAACTGAGCAAGGGCTGACACCTATAGTTGTTCATCCTACACTTCCAAAACAGTTGGAAGATCTGTGTGCTGAATTACTTGGTGATTATACTGTTCCTCCAGTTCCACCTACAGATTCCAACTTAGCTCCGAAAATTAATGACCTTTCTCTGTCTGAGAAAGCATCACTTGAGCATTATGTTGCATGGAAGAAATCAAATGGGACAGTAAAAGGGTACAAATATCATGCAACTGTCCTGCAGTCCAATCTAGACACTGAAATTCTGTCACTCCACCAAGTTAAGAAGCTTTCACAAAGGCTTACTGGGTTTTATCCAAAGAAAGTGGACATGTGTCCAAAAAGTTGCATTGCTTATACTGGCGAATACAAAGACTTGGATAAATGTCCATATACTTTCAGTCAAGCAAAGGAACCATGTGGAATGGCACACTACAAGTAGTGATGTGCAAGGGTTTGTCAACCCTCCAAGGGTCAGGGGTAAGGGTCAGGAGGGTAAGGGTCAGGGTAAGGATTTTGTGACCCTCAACAAACCCTTGACCCTTCTGAAGGGTCAGGGGTTTTTTTAGGGGTTTCATTTCTCTAATATCAAGGTAAGTGCTCCAGATAAAATGATTTTAAATCACATTGAATCAGATAAAATATCATCCAAAGAGACCTCACTACCTTTGCAACACTTAGTATTGTTCAGATACACTGAATTCCTCATATTTCATCAATAATTTACTAAAAACCATGTGTACTGTCATAAATATACTTGAATGATGTGTATTTCACAGGCATCTTGCTATTTATTTACTATCTATAAAGCTTGAGCAGTCATTTGCTCCAAACCCTTGTTCAAACCCTGCTGGGGTTTCTTACCCTCCAACCCCTGAGATACCCTTACCCTTACCCTCCAAAACCCTTGACCCCAGCCAAGGGTCAAGGGTTTTGGAGGGTAAGGGTCAGGGTCAGCCTGAGTTGACCCCAGGGTTACCCCTGCTCATCACTAACTACAAGGAAGGCAGGAAACCAGGCACTAAAATGCCACGAGCACAAGTACAAATTCTTCCGGTGATGGCAACTATTAGGGCATTATATGCAAATGCAGATACCTCTAGGCGTTTACGTCAACGTGATTCTCATTTGAAGCAGGCCCTTCATCTTGTTGGATCTGCAATGCAGAAATTCTCTGATTATGGAAATTCACAGCTCCATATTATCCAGCATCAACAGATGGGTCTTTTTAAATTTCTGAGGGATATTGCACTTGCACTATCAACTGATGGAGCTCAACTAACAATGAAGAAGCATTCCAACACTTGGCTTCTTATCCTCATAATTCTGAATCTTCCTGCCACATTACGTTATAAAACTGAGCACATAATCATCAATCTTGCAACTCCAGGCCCAAATTCCCCAGGAGATATTGAATCCTTTATCCGACCTTTATTTGAAGAAATGGCAATGTCAAGTGAAGGGATCTGGATGTGGGATGCAGTTGATTCTTCATATTTTGTCAATCATGCATACATAGTGATGGCACTTGGTGATATGCTTGGCTCAGCCAAATTAAATGGGATGGCAGGCCATTCAGCAATTTATGGGGGTCGATTTACCATGGTCCGAGGAGCAGTGAGCACATTCCAGTCTTGCAAAGGGAGCAAAATCTCAGTATTATCCAATTTCACCTCCTGAAAATATGAAGTACAATCCAGATAGGCCAGAAGCATATGACCTTGCAAATCTCCCAATGAGAACAGCACAATCATACTGGGAGATAATTAAGAAATTGTTTGCTGCCACATCAAAGACTGCCAGAGCAGTGATTACAAAGTCCACAGGAGTATCACGGCTACCATTATGTGCAGCCAGTAGGGCTTTCTTGCACCCAACTTATTTCCCTTTAGATCCTTTTCATCTCTTCTACGAGAATGGTACAGCCTTTATATGGGATATTTGGACAATATCCAGCTCAGAGACAGAAATCATCCATTTGCCAGCTAATAAAGCACGGGCATTTGGATCTCTTGTAGCAAAGGCTATGGTATCTCTCCCACCTTCTTTCTGTGGCCCAATCCGTGATCCTCATTTGAAGTGCCAGAGTCAATATAAAGTATACGAGTGGATGGCACTTCTCCACTGGTACATCATTCCAATTGGAATTGAACTAGGATTCAATTCACTAGTTTTGCAAAATTTTTCGCTTTTTGCAGAAGCTGTGGAATTTGCAATGACTATTTCAGAACGAACAGAAAAGGAGCTGGAAGGGCTTCGAAGCCTTATAATCAAATTTCTTACAGGCTTTGAGAAGCTCTATGTCGATGGAGATCCAGAAAAAATCTCACGCATGTGTTTGTGCATCTTTCAACTGATTCATGTTCCCACCCATATAAAATGGAATGGATCAATCCGACTAGGATCCCAGGCTACGGTGGAGCGAAGTATTGGTGAGATGGGCCACAAAATCCATTCAAAAAAGGCTCCATTTGCTAATCTGGCGAACATTATATTTGAGCGAGAGCTAGTCAAGATTCTCTTGCTTTATCTCCCTGCACTTGATATCAATGCAAATGCCTCAAAAGAAATGAAAAAGAATGACAGAAATTTGATTCAGAAGCGCAAAATTACAAAGAGAGAAGGCCAGAATGAGCAAGTCATTTGTGAACTTGATGCCATTAATGCATGGTTAAAGGAGGCCAATGTCAAGGAAAAATTTGTGGCAAAGGAGAGATATGGCAAATTAAGATTGGCCAATGGACGAATTTTGGGTAGCTGTCTGAGTACTTCTCGGGTAGATAACTCATCGACCCGCATGTCAGAAGTGGTTTGAGGTGAGTGAATTCACAAAACATCTGGCCAGTATTCACATTTCTTTTGTAGGCTAAAAATACCCATGCCCAAGCTAGTTCCACTACAAGCACCCCACCTGGGTCAAACACTCCAAATATATTGAATCACACTTTTGGTGAAGCAAATTCATTCTACAAGGTGGAACTGACAAACAAGACTTATATTCTGGTGGTATATACTCCACTTATTGATGTGCAACCAGTTCTGAGAACTCAAATACGAGGGAAATGGGAAAGCCCTACTACTCTGAAGGTCATTGAGGCAAGCCAAATTCTAGATCTTGTTGGAATATGGAGTGCTGAGGCATCTAAAAATATTTATGTGTTGAGGAAGCACCCAGGTTTGGCAATGTTAAGTGCAGTTGAGTCTGGAAAAGGGGATGAAGGTAATGATACAGATGATAGTGATTCAGATGAGGAATAGACTAGGACTAGACTACAACACAGCATGTACTTGACTATTACTTGACTTCAGTCAGGCCATAAAATCCTAGCAAACATGTACCTGAGGGCCACATGACTTCAACCTTACCAATGTGACTTCACACGACCATATTGTGAGGAGTGGATGACTTGACCTGACTTTCGTTTTTACTGAGGGTCACTGCTTACAAATTGGATCATGGCTTACGAAAATGAAGCTGGCGGAAGACTGTTTCCATAGGCATGGGAGCATTGAGACATATTTGAAGGGGTGTGCGTAGGTTCCTGTGGCAAATACAGCTATCGAGGTATCGATAGACTAGTTTCCACGACGCTCCGCTTAGTGATTTTGTTTAGTTTTGGAGCTGGCCAAACAACTTCCCACAGGCAATTGGTGGGCATTGCCTTCCCACCCCTTCCCGCCTGTTGCGTATATAGTCATAAATTCCTAGTTTGGTTGTTTGCACCAGTACTTTACCCTCCCCGGGTTAATCCATATGGAATGGATGGAATGGGGGGTGGACTGCACAAATTCCAGATGGATTCCATGGAGTGGGGGATGGATTCCATAGAATGGGGGATGGATTCCATGGAATGGGGGATGGATTCCATGGAGTGGGGGATGGATTCCATAGAATGGGGGATGGATTCCATGGAATGGGGGATGGATTCCATACTTTTTCCACATGGAATCCATACTCTATTCTATATGTTCTATACCATTTTAAGGGTGGAATTCATATGGACTCCATATGGATTCCATAAGGATTCCACATGGAATCCACATGGAATGACTTTATGAAATAATTCTAAGTACACATCATGTAATCAT